CACCGGTTTGCCACCGCATGGGTTTCTGTTGTAAGTGTCAGTGTGTCCCAGGACCATCAGCCGGACTGACCTCTCCCAGTCGAGCGCACATGTGATCCTCCCAGTCGTCCTCTGGCGGAGCCTCTGGGATGAAGAGCCAGTCGGCGCCGGACGCCAGAGCCGAGACCACAGCCAGATACCTGGAGAACCACACACACCGGATCACACCGGATCAGACCCACACACACCGGATCAGACCGGATCAGAACCACACACACACCCGATCAGACCCACACACACCCGATCAGACCCACACACACCGGATTAGACCGGATCAGACCCACACACACACCCGATCAGACCCACACACCGGATCAGACCCACACACACCGGATTAGACCGGATAAGACCCACACACACACCAGATCAGACCGGACCGGACACCCACACACACCGGATCAGACCGGACCAGACCCACACAGACCAGATTGGATCAGACCCACACACACACCGGATCAGACCCAAACACACCGGATCAGACCCAAACACACCGGATCAGACCCAAACACACCGGATCAGACCCAAACACACCGGATCAGACCCAGACACACCGGATCAGACCCAAACACACCGGATCAGACCCAGACACACCGGATCAGACCCAAACACACCGGATCAGACCCAAACACACCGGATCAGACCCAAACACACCGGATCAGACCCAGACACACCGGATCAGACCCAAACACACCGGATCAGACCCAAACACACCGGATCAGACCCAAACACACCGGATCAGACCCAAACACACCGGATCAGACCCAAACACACCGGATCAGACCCAAACACACCGGATCAGACCCAAACACACCGGATCAGACCCAGACACACCGGATCAGACCCAAACACACCGGATCAGACCCAAACACACCGGATCAGACCCAAACACACCGGATCAGACCCAAACACACCGGATCAGACCCAGACACACCGGATCAGACCCAAACACACCGGATCAGACCCAGACACACCGGATCAGACCCAAACACACCGGATCAGACCCAAACACACCGGATCAGACCCAGACACACCGGATCAGACCCAGACACACCGGATCAGACCCAAACACACCGGATCAGACCCAAACACACCGGATCAGACCCAAACACACCGGATCAGACCCAAACACACCGGATCAGACCCAAACACACCGGATCAGACCCAAACACACCGGATCAGACCCAAACACACCGGATCAGACCCAAACACACCGGATCAGACCCAGACACACCGGATCAGACCCAAACACACCGGATCAGACCCAGACACACCGGATCAGACCCAAACACACCGGATCAGACCCAAACACACCGGATCAGACCCAAACACACCGGATCAGACCCAAACACACCGGATCAGACCCAAACACACCGGATCAGACCCAAACACACCGGATCAGACCCAAACACACCGGATCAGACCCAAACACACCGGATCAGACCCAAACACACCGGATCAGACCCAGACACACCGGATCAGACCCACACACACCGGATCAGACCCAAACACACCGGATCAGACCGGACCAGACCGGATCAGACCAGATCAGATCAGACCACACACACCGGATCAGACCGGACCAGACCCAGACACACCGGATCAGACCCAAACACACCGGATCAGACCCAGACACACCGGATCAGACCCAGACACACCGGATCAGACCCAAACACACCGGATCAGACCCAAACACACCGGATCAGACCCAAACACACCGGATCAGACCCAAACACACCGGATCAGACCCAAACACACCGGATCAGACCCAAACACACCGGATCAGACCCAAACACACCGGATCAGACCCAGACACACCGGATCAGACCCAGACACACCGGATCAGACCCAAACACACCGGATCAGACCCAAACACACCGGATCAGACCCAAACACACCGGATCAGACCCAAACACACCGGATCAGACCCAAACACACCGGATCAGACCCAAACACACCGGATCAGACCCAAACACACCGGATCAGACCCACACACACCGGATCAGACCCAAACACACTGGATCAGATCAGACCCAAACACACCGGATCAGACCCAAACACACCGGATCAGACCCAAACACACCGGATCAGACCCAAACACACCGGATCAGACCCAGACACACCGGATCAGACCCACACACACCGGATCAGACCCAAACACACCGGATCAGACCGGACCAGACCGGATCAGACCAGATCAGATCAGACCACACACACCGGATCAGACCGGACCAGACCCACACACACCGGATCAGACCCACACACACACCGGATCAGACCAGATCCGACCCACACAGACCAAATCAGACCAGATCCGACCTACACACACCGGATCCGACCCACACACACAGGATCAGATCCACACACACCGGATCACACCGGATCCGCATGGCTTCATGAAGAATAACAGTAACTGACACGCACCCGCAGTGGCGGCCCATCACCTCCAGCACAAACGTCCTCT